GGGGGTGGTGGAAATGTGGGAGAGAGACAGCCTTGGTGTGTGCCAGCGCTGCTCAGCACTAGCCAAAACCCTGGTGTGTTACCAACACCTTGCTGGTTACCAATGCACAGCACAGCACTGTGAGGGCTGCTGTGGGGAAAGTTAACTCCATCTCAGCCAGACCTTATACGATTTAATAGTTTGTACTAATTAAAATCACCTGCTATATATATAGGCTAAGATTTTTACAAATTCTGGCATCCAAGCTGAGTACCTTCAGAAGAACCAAGTAGGTGGCCCTTTTTCGTATGGCTTTTCAGTCAGTTGTGTATTCTGGATGTGTATTTTGCATACCTCAGCTCAGTGGTTCCTTTCCTCTCTCTTTCTCCCTGGTGGCGTAGCAGTAGTGACAGGACAGAAGTCTTGAATTTTTTAATTTTTGCAGTCAAGTCTTATGATTATTCCTTGACTTAGTGCTTTTGCATGGTCTTCTGTGCAGCTGTTCATAGCAGGTTACCTTCTGATTTGAATCTGAATGTGTGCATTCAGTTTACTGTTGATAAAACTTAGTAGTTGTAACCTTTTTTATTGCTAAAATTTGACTATAGTTGATGGATGTCGATACTGGTTGAGTATTCAGCATAGTAGAGCATATATGGGGAATCTTTGAAATGCTTCGGATGGAGTCCAGGTTTGAGGGGATCTTCTGGGAGGGATTTGCCTGATGGTGGTGAAGATTGCAAAACTGGGAGTTTGGATCATGGGGGCTTCCTGTGTTGGGGGAGAGAAGTAGAGTCTGATGGAGAGAATGGAAGCAAAGCCTGAAGGAAATTGATGTTGGGTGTCCATTAACTAGCATGCTAAGGCGGCACTTGCTGTCTTGTTGAGGCAATAGTATAGTGGTTGGACAAGGAAATGCAACAGCCAAATTTCCCCTTATGGTCAGGGAGGAAATCTGAATGCCCTCCCCAGGGACTGCATCTACCACCTACAACCACTGTTCACTGGTGCATCCTGCCGAATGAGTTGAGTGAGTAGATTTTCCTTACCGTAGTCAGACCTGCCTTCGGAAGATAGCTGCAGGCACCAGCTGGCCAAGTGCTTTTGGTTTAAGATACATCTCCAGTGCGAGGAACTAAAACGTGTGTTGTTCTAAACTAAACTGGTTTTTTTCCCTATTTCTTCCTTATAGCCTCGTCATGTATTCAACATGCTGAAGAAGTACGTGCGCGCTGAGCAGAAGGACAGACAGCACACTCTCAAACACTTTGAACATGTCCGCATGGTAGACCCAAAGAAAGCTGCCCAAATCAGATCTCAGGTAATCTCCACTGAAGGTTAATGGGGTCGTGTTTGATAGTAACCATTGTGAAGTTTCTGTCAACCTATTTTTTTAAAAAATACCTGATGCCTTTCTGTGGACAACTTTACATGCAATAAAAAATAATCTGCTTTCTGGCAGGACATTAAGGCAAAGTGATGTAGGAGTAGGGTGGGTATAATTTGTCTTCTGAGAAGAACTGAAAAGCAGGTTTTCTGTCTATCCAGACAGTGAGTCAGTCGTGGGTGTTTCCTGAGGAGCCCTCCAGAGCATTAATTCCCAAAGCCTTTATTTAGTGCTTTGGTAAATAATACCTCTGGGAAAATGTCAGTAATAGATTTAGCGACCACACATGGTTATGCTTCCCTCAGCTGAAGTGGTGTAGCCATCTGACTGCAACCTACCTTTCTATAGTCATTGCAGAGGTACTTGCAGCATCTATAAATGTGATTACTGTGATGCGCTCAAGTTTAACATGTTCTTTTAAAATAGGCAGTGTAATTCATGGCATTTCAACTGCTGAATGTTACTGCAGTCCTCAACATGTATGTTTTGGAACAGCTTTTATGTTGCCTTCGTAAATCATGGAGGGTAAGAAAGAAAAAAAAAAAAAGAAAAGAAAAGACTGAATACGTAGCTGGTTTTCAAAACAGCAGTTAAAATTGTAGGCACAATGGATAAGCTGTAAAAAAAGTGTGCTGTAATCTGCAGAATTATAGTGTCTGCAGAATCAGCCACTATTCCCTCTGCAGGGTGCAATGGGAAGCGCTGTTCTAGCCACAGTTCTTGAACTGACTGGCATCACTAGAAGCTGAATCAAAACCATATACCTCCCTGGATGGCACAATTGGCATATTGGACTTCTCAGACATCTATTCCAGGACAGACTTGTACAGTGAGGTCATGCTGTCTTGAAATTGCTAGCGTTAGAAATGCACACTTCTAACAGACTTCTGCAGTGATGGTTCTTTCCCTTGTCTTTCCCAACATTAAAGCATGTCCTTTTGCATCTAACATGAGTTTTTAGTTTCTAAACCACGGGATTATTTAATAGCAAAAACTAGTGAAATTTTGCAGACTATAGATTGTGTGGCAGCACAGGTAAAGAATGGAAACTTACATTTAGATAAAAGAAGTGCAGTGTATTGCTTAACGTATCATCATAGGAATGAGTATTTCTACAGTATTGTTTGCTTCTTGAATTGGTTAAAGGTTGGGGCAATGTAGGCTGGAGGACCTGATGGGGAATTTTTTTCAGTGGAAAGTGGAAAACAAAATATTTTGTTCAAAAGCATAAATACTATCTTTAAATTTGAAGAAATCATATTGGGTATTTTTCATTGAAATTGCTCTCTGCAAGCCATTTTCCTCTTTAAGCCTAATTGCCCTGTCATTCTTCTAAGGTGCACCTCAATTTCCCTTTCTACTGAGAGAGGTGATACTTGTGGAGTGTACCCTGGGGGAGCCTATATCATGGGATGTCGTGACTCAACCCATAGCAGCGTGAGGGAGCCTGAGGTGATAGAGTTGTAATCACATGAGACAATGCAGTAATGCTTCTAGGTGGAAATATGTTTGGTTTTAGCTGAAAATATTTGCAAACTTTTTTACCAAGAAAATTGGAGCTTTTTTCAGAGGGTGCTGTTTCTTTTTGCAATATTAGGATAAAGGAAAGAAGAAAAAAAAAAGCAAAAATAAGCTGAAACATTTTGATGCAGCAATCATTGTGCCTCACTTAGTTTGCATGTTATGTGGAAACTTATGGGTATGGGCAAATGTAAATGTTATTGAAGGGTAAATGAGGCTGCAGATTTCTGCCACAATATCTGCTTGTGTACATGCAAATGTAAACCCCTACTTTAAATTACTGCATTCCCATGGGATTTCAGGTAGTTGCTATGGAAGAGCATCTAGAACACTATTTTTGTAGCAGCTGTAGGAGAGAGATGAATTTTGCAATGGATTTGACAGCTTCAGTACACAGAGCATGCTGAAATCTTGTACCTAGCACAAGTGAAAACTGTCTTGCTCTCTATAACCTATAAAATTTGTAATAATGCCAAATTAGCAGTAGTATTCCCCTCCTTATAAATACTTCTATTTCCATAGGTTATGACACATCTACGTGTGATATATGAACGCATGAACCAGTCTCTCTCCTTCCTCTACAATGTGCCTGCTGTGGCAGAGGAGATCCAGGATGAAGTCGGTATGCAAACTATTAATGTAGAAAAAGGGAAATATTTCTGTGATAAGAAATTACCACCAAAAGCTAAAATACACCATCTTACTTCTTCTATTGATATACTGTCCCAGCTGAAAAATAGGAGACTAAACTTGCCAATGTTTTTAAATTATAAATTAAATTATAATGAATATTTGGAAGACAAATCCTGTATAACGCATGCAGTGACATCATGATATTGTTGTAAATGTTCTTCCTGAAATATGTTAATTTACATTTGGACCCTCCATGCTGTAACGGAAACAGCTATTGACAATGAGATTTCGTAAATCCTTCCTGGGTTTGGATATTTAATTTGCATGGTAAGTATTTACATTATCTGATGTTAGATGTTTTGGAAATCCCCAAGCTAAAGAATGAGTTGCAGACCCCCGCATCTGAGGAGAATATAAGTATCAACTGGAGGTTGCTAAGTGCAACTTGGCAGTATCTTACTGGTCATGCATTTAGTCCTTGGTTAGTTGGTCAAATGGGTATCTCCTCTCTCATTTTTCTGGTGCACAGGCTGGACCAGTCAGGTAGCAACAGTCCCATGTTTGCATCTTCCTTGAGTGCTGTCGCAGCAGACAGCTGTGAGGGAGAATGGTATTTCCTCCCATTCAGGTTCCTGCTCTTGGCTGTGGCATTGCTACTACAGTGACATCTCTGTCACGGCACTTGGACTCTGCTGTGTTGCTGCTGTTACAGCAAGGCGACTTCACTTACCCTGTATTAATTTCAGATACAGCCACAGCTTTGGACATCATGTTGCTAATGTACTTCTTTAAGAAAAATAATACATGGATGAATGCAGAGGCTGGAGATGGGACAGTCACTGTCTTTGAAGCAGCTTTTTTCACAAGATGTAACACTCTGCCAAACAGCAGTTAATGGATTCGTTTCACAAATAATCAGCCTCAGCTGACTAAATAAATTATTGATTTCTTTAAAGCACAAGGGAAGGAGGCGTGCCATTGCTCTAAGGATTAGGATGCATTGAGGACACAGGGAGGGGGATGGACAGAGAGTAGTGGGGGATTCATTTGCCCAAAGCACAGGTTAGGAAGGAGATGTGCTGCTACTTGTAAGGCAGCTTGAGAGGGCTGGGGATGAGATCAGGAGGTTGGCAAAGGGGTTGGGAGGGAATAAAAAGATAACCAAATTAGTAATTATCCTTCACCATGTGTTTCTGTGCTCCACAGTTGTAAGGCTCAATCAACAGTCTCAGTCTGCAGTTGTAGAGAGCTGGTCGGGGGGGAACCCACTATGTTATTGGTCATTTGAAAGTATATAATTTCTGTAGCAAAGGAGATGCCAGTGCTGTTGGGTCTTCAAGACACTCAGTTTGTTTTCTTTCTGTACCACCATCATTCTCCTATCATTCCCATGGGTTTTTTGCTTGAAGTTTCAATTTCTTCTAATATTGGTAATGTTAACGCTTGTTGGTCAGGACATTCTTCTAAATTTTCTTCTCCCTCCTAAATACTGAAATGGAATGGGAATTTCAGAGGCTTTGAAGTGACATGGGACCAAAAGTCTATTAAATGCTAAGTAGTTTGCAAAAATCTGACTCCTAATCTCAAATGTAATACTAATTTTTAGGAGGGAAAAGAGCCTAAAATTAGTAGGATACTATTTCCTAATAAGTTGAGAGGACTAAGATATCTCAAAGAAAAAGTCTATCACAGTCTCTTGAGTCCCTACCTTGATTTTTGTGGGTTTGGGCATACTAAAAATTCTTCAAAGCATTGCAAAGTTTAAAGCAATGAAGAATAAGTTCTCATACTGGGAGTTACCAGGCAGCAGAAATTAAAGAAGGCACTATCAGATCTGGGCTGTACTAGATAAAATAGTTTTCAGTAATGAGAAGAAAGCCTGTTCTCTTTCAGTATCAATGTTCTCCTTGGTAAGATCGGCTGTATACTTGGTTTTACATACTGGTTTTACTGGAAGTTCATTGAGGTCATTCCCATCTGTTGAAGGAGACAGTGTTCTTCTCACTTAGAGCACTGATCAGTCTGTTTCAAATTCTGTTCTGAAATTACTGAATTTCTTAGTCTCTGTACTCTTCCTAAACCCGTGGAACAGAAAATCTGTTACAGCTGCAGTATCTGTGGAGAAGTAAAATACTAATAAAATTGCACTTCATAACATTCCCAAGAAATATTCTAACTGTCATCAAAAAGAAAAATGTTTCATTAAATACCTTTTGTTAGAACCATTCACTTAGAAAGTCTGAGTCAGTGGAGAAGTTGAAAAATAATCTAGGTAAGAACATCTCACACATACAGTGTCTGAATAATAAATCACATGTAAGGAAGCATAGTTGAAAATATGCTAGGCTAGGATGCAAGTTAGATGGCTGATGTTTTAGTTCAGTTTTTTTGTTCATTATACTTTCAGTTTCTAGTTCCATGCTTTATTTACTGCAGAGTTCTTCATGAACAATTTTCATCCTGAGGAATTAATAATCTTTGCTTTAGAAGACACAGCTCTGGCAAAGGTAGTTTTTCCCTAAATTGAACAAGTAGTTCTGTGAACAGCAAAATAAATGAGATCTAGTTTCCTGTGAATTTGTACCATGGGTTAAATTCCTCTAATATCTAATAAGGTGCTGGGTTTTACTAGATTTTCTCATTGCTAGAAATATTATGCCCTATTTTGCACAGTTTCTCCCAGTATTAGCTGTTGACAAATTTGAATCTCAGGTTTTGGGATTTAATTATTTTTTTAGAAACTAAAGTAGAAGTACATTAAAATTTCCCTTATGCCTTCCTGACAGTCCACTACCAAAGGTTCATCTGTTAGAAATAGGTGCTATTCTGTCGTTGGAAAGTATATGTGTCTGAAGATAAGGTGCAAACTTTGTAGTTTCTCTCTGTAATTTTTGAAGTCTTTATGCTGAGCAATGAATTTGGATTACATGAAAGAGAATCTAGAGTTATTCCTGGGGCATAGCAGCTGCATAGAGCATGTTTTCTTCAACAATCTGAAGATTTTTTAATTAACGCTTGGTGATCAGATGAATCACAATCCAGCAGTTGAACATTTGACGTTCCTTCAAAATACAGAATATTTTTGAAGTTCCTACCTCAAAAGGCAGGTTCATAGCCATAGTTTAAAGGTGTGGAATCCAAAATACAAAATCCAGCTTCTATGCTAAAAGAAGCCTTTTAAAACCTCTGGTTATTTTCAGAACTCCAGCAGAGATGATGGTAGGAAGTTAGGGTAAAATTTAAAAGTGTTGTAGTCCTTATCTGCAGGTGTCCATCACCAGTTGATGTCTGTTGGCCTAAACAGAAGATGTCTTGATTTGCATGTATAGATACATAGGAAGACCCAAAGCACTCTGAAGGGTAGAAAGCAGCACGTACATGAAGTGAGGATTTTTTTGCTAAGCGTTTGACCAACGTATAATGGCCTGTCTGACTGCGACTGTTAGGACAAAGGTTGGAAAGTGTAACGCAGGTCATTTGTGTAGGAGACCATTTGGCGTTCTGGCTGCAAATGATTTCTCAAGGGGCAGTGATGCAAATGTGCTGCAAACGAGGTCACTCTCAGCAACTGATGTAGTTCTTGATGTTAAGTGGTGTTTCTCATGGGCAAGCGTATGCTCCATGAATAGGAGAGTGGCACGAAAAAATCTGAGAAGAGAGATTTATTTGCACACTGTAGGTGAGCAGATTATTTGGTTACCTTGGTATTTGTACTCACCTTTTCCCTCTGATAAATCTCATATACTATTTAATATGTACAAAAGCTCAGAGAAAGCAATGGCAGGCTCTAAGAGAAATCAGCAGTTCCTTTGAGCACAACCTGCTTTAAATCCTTATTTGATTAGACTGCTTATCCATGTATGTAAAAGGCAATTTATGCTGGGAGTGGCACAGCAGGCACAGCTTCTGAATCAGAAGCTACGTCAGAGCTTTGTGCATCAGTCTAATGGGCAGGCAGTGAGCTGAATTTTTATTGTCTTTGCTGCTCTGTCTCCAAACTGATGTCCTCAACTCCATGTTTTGTAGCCCACCACTGATGAAATATTCAGCACCGCCTACCGCAACAGTATCGTAACTAAGCTCTGAAACATTCAGTTATGAGTAATAAGAGAATATGATTTCATCTGTCCCTTGACAAATAAAGGCAAGCTATTGTTATTTTATTATTCCATTCCACTGTGCCTATCCCTTTCTTCTGCAGCATGTTCCGGCTGCCACACTCACATTCTTAAAGCTGGGAGAGAGGACAAACACAAGCAGACCCTAGATCACTGCTTGCATTCAAATGCATGCAGTGTGTTGTGGGTCATGTGCTATTTCAAGTATTTGTATGCTCCAGCTTAGCATGACAAAATTTATGCAAGAGAATTTTGCCTCACAAATTCCTGTGAAGATTTTTTAAGTATTTTTAGAAAAAAGCTTGACAGCTGTAAATACAGGACAAGCTACAGACTGAAGATGTCTGAGGACTTGCTTTCTTTTAACACTTTCTCTTTAACCATCAGTCCCTGTATCTATCAGTCTGCATCTCTGCATGTTGTCTGGACTACTTGTCGAGGGCAAAGTTAGCCCTGCCTCAGGTCGTTCTGGTCTTTCAGCATTTATACGACTTACTGTTCATTTCTTGTTTCTAGCTGCTAATTTTGACCTGTAGTCACTCCACAGCCGTGCTGCATTTCTTGCCATGAGTTGAATTAGGATGCTGTTCTCCATTCATTCTGTGGTACCCTCCTTCAGAAGTTTTGAGGGTATTAGCTGCTTGCTGCAGGCTGACAGTCCAAAATGACAACCATAGTGGTCAGGATTTATATTGCAAAACCAAAACACACCCCTGGGGGCTTTGCAAAAGCAAATTTTGTGTCTGTCCTGTTTGGTGCCATTTCTTTTGTGATTGGTTTTTTCATCCTCTCCCTTAAAAAGTAATGTTTTGAATATGTAATTAGTAACGTCTTTCAGACTCCAGTGGGACTTCTTGGTGTCTTGTTTTTC